TGTAATCCCGCCTAACTCCGGAGGCTGAGCGGGGGAATCGCTTGAACCCCGGAAGAGGAACGTTGCGTGAGCTCGAGATCGCGCCATTGCGCAGATTCCCCCGTCTCAAAAAAAAAAAAAAAAAGAAAAGAAAAAGAAAAGGAGGAAAAAGAAAAAGAGCCACTTTCCTTGGTAACGTAAGCCCGCTTGGGGGAGATGCGGTTTCCTGGTGACTCGTTCAAACATTTATGGAATCAGCACACCAAACGTCAGGGCCGTGTGTAGCCTTGTGCAGAACCGTAAAGGACCATCCGTCTTTTCCTTAGGGATTTCTCTGCCCAGCGCAGTGTGCTTCAGGGACGTCTCCCAAACGACAGGCACCAGGTAGAGCCCCAGGGAGTATTCCTCCTCTTCTGAACACTCCACACCAAGGTCCTAGGGGAAGTCAAGACCCCTTGAATCCATGGGTATTACACCTTCAGCTGATTGTTTTAAGAACCCAACAACGTAAATTAAAAAACATTCCTTTCTAGGCCAGTCTTGAACTTGAGTTTATAAAAAAACTATTAACAGGAAGTTTCAGATCAAAAAAAAAATTAATTTTAAAAAAATCTTCTAATGTCAATGGTTAAGCAGTCTAATACAACAAACATACCATGTTGAATTTAGTACAAAAAAGAGGTTATGTCTGAGATGTAAGCAAAAAAAAAAACGGTGAGTGTTTAGAGTGGTTTTTTTTTTTTTTTTTTGGTTTTGCTAATCCAAACCATCCTGGAACACACCCTTTAGTCGATGCTGGGCATCTTTCATAAAAGAAACATTTAGCCCATGAAAAGAAGTTTGGAAAAAACTAAAACACAATGGAGAAATGTTTCAAGAAAACATTTGCTCATTTCAATTAGGGTTATTTGGTTGTTGTTGTTGTGTATTTGTAATAGCCTATTTCAAGCTGATAACAACTTAAATTTGCACATAGCAAAGTACTCTTATGGCCCCTTCCCCATATTTTATGCTTTTGATGTCAGAATTTAAGTCATTTTATAATGTGTTTCTTTTGACAATTTATTTTAGCTATAGTTATTAATAGTTTTCTTTTAACCCTTGCCTCCGGGAATGAAATTGCTTGGTCACCATTGCATTCCCAGAATATTCTAAATATGGATCTGTTTTACTTATACCATTTAGCTTAGTGCTTTCATTTGTTTCATGTCATTAATTACCAGCCTTTTGTTTCAGCTTAAAGAACTCTCTTTAGACATCCTTGCAAAGCAGGTCTCATGGTAATGAACTCCCTTAGCTTTTTTTCTGGGAACGTTTTTATGCCTCAATTCTGAATTACAGTTTTGTGGATAAAGTATTCTTGGTTGGCAGTTTTTTTTTCTTTAGCACTTTGAATATATCATCTTTGGCACTTTGAATATATGTCTCCTAGCCTGTAGGGTTTCTGCTGAGAAATCCACCATTAGTTGTATTGGCACTCCTTTTTATGTGATGTGTTTCTTATCTTTTGCTGCTCTCAGAATTTTTGTCTTTGATTTTTGGTGGTTTGATTATTATGTGTCTTGGTGAACTCTTTTTTGAGTTGAATTTGATTGAACATCTCTTTGTTTCCTATACCTGGATATTGGCATCTATCCCCGATTAGGGAAGTCTTTAGCCAATGTATCTTTAAGTACGTGTTCTTGTCCTTTATCCTATTATGCAAAGGTTTTTTTGTTTGTTTGTTTGTTTGTTTTTTTAGACAGTCTCGCTCTGTCGCCCAGACCCGAGTGCAGTGGTGCAATCTTGGCTCACTGCAAGCTCCACCTCCCGGGTTCACACCGTTCTCCTGCCTCAGCCTCCCAAGTAGCTAGGACTACAGGCACCCACCACCATGCCCCAGTAATTTTTTTGTATTTTTAGTAGAGACAGGGTTTCACCATGTTAGCCAGGATGGTCTCGGTCTCCTGACCTCATGATCCACCTGCCTTGGCCTCCCAAAGTGTTGGAATTATAGGTATGAGCCACTGTACCTGGCCAGGTTTGATCTTTTGATGGTGTCCCATAGTTCCTGTAGGTTTTCTTCATTCTTTTTGAGTCTTTTGTCTTCTTGTTCCTCTGAGTGGATAATTTGAAATTTTCTATTTGTTGGCCCATTGATTTCATCAGAAGAAAGATTGAGTCTGTTGTTAATAATTTTTACTGAATTTTTCAGTCCAGTGATTGTATTCTTCATCTCTAGAATTTCTACTTGATTCTTTTTAATGTTTTTATTTTATTATTGAGCTTCTTACTTTGTGTATTGTTTTGCCAAATGTCATTAAATGTTATATTTGTATACTCTTGTGTTGATCTTTTAGCAGATTATTTTGAATTCTTTGTCAGTAATTTCATAGATCTTCTTTTCTTTGGGGTCTATCATTGATACTTTATTAGTTT